TCCATTGCTGAGAAAAGAGCGATTATTCAATTTACTTTCCATCTTTTAAGCAGTAATAGCTATTCTCAACAAGGAATATTTTCCTGACATGTATATCTTGAGATATATTTATGGCAAATTTTAAAAAAGCTCATTATCGTGCACTCTCAAAGGAGAAATTTATTATTCTCTGGCAAATGGCATTTTGAAAAATAACATGAAGAACTTTATCCAAGAAAAAGTTAGTCGACCGTGTTGATGTAACTGCGAGTTCACCAAGAGTTCAGATTTTCATATTAGGTTTTGCACGATATATTGTTTTGCGCAAAGTTTGATCATTCTTTTCATTTTCTTTCGTACTTCTATTCTGATATCCTATATGATAAATATGAGTGCCATATGAATTTCTCATAAAGGACGCAACCTTTACAAATCGCGGCTGGTGAAGTGTTGCCGTCAAATTTACATATACCTTCTCTTATTCGAGACATTTAATTAATCCATAACATTTTTTGTTCACCGTGGAATGTCGACGTATAGTCTGTGACGCGAGAAATACGAAAACTGCGTCGATCGCGAATGTTTTTCACGTCTTCGAGTTAAACGTCGGCGATGAGGAAAACCGGTTTAACGTGCGACAACGGAGTGAAATGTGTGTCAGCAACTTCCGAGGTTTATTCGTTGAAATAACTTGGACGAAAAAATAACGGATCATTTGTTGATTTAACCCGCCGCGAATTACAACAAAGCGAGAATCGCGACCATACATATTACCCATCATCTTAACGAGTTTCCTCAACGTCGCCGGCATCTTAACGGTTTCCACCTGCTCAAGTCGCAGCACCTTAACGGTCTCCTCAACGAGCTCGGGAAATGATTTTAACGCGCTGCTGAATTACTAATTACTCTGTTCGAGCTGCTGCCAAGCGCCACCTCTCGTCGTTCCCGTCGCCGTGCAAAGTAGCGATGTTGATTCGAAACGAAGGAAACGCACGTGCTAGACCCGGGCGAGGTGAGAAGCTTGAAAGAAAGCGTTCGAAAGCGGCTTAACTCTGCCGGAAAAAGACCCTTCATCGTATCGACGATGAAGACAACGACGGGGAACGGATTTATTTTTCTTTCGCGTCCTCTTCTTTTCCCCGCGCTCTCTGTCCCCTTATATCTCGACGCGATTTCTCCGACCGCGCGCATTCGCTCTCTGATACGTCACTACAATACATTATGTTCGCCACGTGTGCAACGAATCGTGCACATACGAGTTTGACACGTCGCTGATTTTCCGTGCCGCCTCGCAGAAGCTCCAAGGGATGAACGAGATGTATGATTTCCACGGGAGGGCTGGGACGAAACGCGGCGCGGTCGGTCGGGGAATCGAACAACAGCACCGCACACCAAATACGGAATCGCTCGCTTTTCACGTTTCGACCCGCCCACGAACGTCATAAAGCTAACAAAGAGAGAGGAAGGGGAGAGAGAGAGAGAGAAAAAAAGGCAGCCGATTTTTCCATGGCGTATTTTCACAGGTTGCTACGTACAGTTTAATTCTGAAAAATCCCATCTTTCATTTGGCATACTTCCGCAGCGATTTGCACTTTTCAATTGATTGCAACTTTGCCAATCTGTTATTGCACTATACAAAATTATCTGACCTTGTTACTCGATATTGTCGCGCGTAAAACAATGTGAATGCGTGTCGTGACACGAGCGAAACCCTCTGCAATAATTTCTGTGCCGAGCTCTCGAGGATCTTTTTACAAAGCACAGTCGAGAAACGTCGAAAAAGTTGGAGGATTGAATTAAAAGTTCGTCTTAAAATCCAACTCGACGCATCGGAACTGGCATCGCCCGCGAGAACTTGGATCTACTTTAGATCCGACCAGCCTTCAGATCACGTCTGCAAGGTCCACTTCAACGGTCGCGGTTTAATTCCGAGAGACGAGCGTCTAGTCGACGGCATTACTTGCACTTAAAAGGATTGCCCACTTCTATAGATTACATATATATAACCCGCGTATGACATCACGTTGATTCATCGCGTCGTATTATTATGTAAAAAAAAACTCGTGGGAGGTAGCGAATTAAGGTGTCATTGATGGAAAATCGAAAGTCTCGATACCGAATAACGAACAAGGAACTATTCGGAGTGGATTCCGATCGAACTTGATTCGTTTTAACTAAACAAAACGCAATAGAAATCTACACGCAGAAAAATACAGTCAAATAAATGTTTCTCGCTTCGAACATTTCATAAATGTATATATCCGCAAACCAGTTTATTACACAAACATCAAATTTATTCAAACATTTTGAATAAGCTTTGTTTTAGAGGAAAGTAAACTGAGTAATCGCTTCTCTCAACAGTAGAATAATATTATTCTCTATGCATAGGGAATAATAGAATTATTCCAAAATTAATTCCAAACAGTTCCATAACAGCTCCTCTGATTTCGCAAACAGATTCCGAATTCGTGAGGAAATTACGAGGTAGAGTCCGGCGGACTCGGTAAATCGCGATTTACGCAAACGGCGGTCCCGCACGATCGGACGCTGATTTATCGGGACCTGACGATCGCGGACGTTGTTTCAAACGTGGATCGAGTGGGCAGTCAAGCGTCATTCCACGGCGACCTACGCGACAATCCACGCCCTGAATCGAACGCGCGCACCGTGAGCACAAGGGGTGGGTGTATCGCGAAGATGTAAAATTCGCCAGGATTCCTCGACATGAGAAGAATTTCAGAGGCGGAAAGTTTTCACGCGAGCGCGAATCGCGCCGTGGAATTTGCGTGCCGACATAACACAACTGTGAAAATCGCGCGAACGAACTGCTCCACAGACGCGATCGACCTATTAATTAGTTGTGCAACGAGTCGACAGCACTTCCAGCGCGCTGAGAAGCCGCCGGAGCGTGCCGCAAATTGCGTGGACACGATCCGCGCGGAAGCCGCATTGGTATAACGCCCTCATTCTTCCGCGATTCAGTCGGAAAAAAAAAGTACAGAGAAATGTTAGCAACGAGAAACGGGGTTCCGCTCACGATATGTGATCGAAGTATCCTCAATACACTCTCTAAATAACTTCCTAGCATTGTTGCGAACTTTAAAAGGTTTTTTTTAATCACTGCTGTAAACCCTAAAGAGTCCTGATATTCCAGAATTAAATAAACTATAAGGTAAGGTCCTTATTCTAAACTCTCTTTTTTGTCAACAGAAATAACTTCAAAATTCGTACTTGTCTCATGTGAGATATTCAGATTTGAATTCAGAGTTAGATCAAAGTTTTCTCAGTTAAATCATATGATATATATATATATATACGACGTTATATTAGTAATCACAATTCAACGGAAAAATCTACATCTAACTCTAAATTAAAGTTTGAAAATAAGTTTCAAATAGCAACTATCAATACGGAGCTAAATGTGTTTATGAGTTAATCAGAAAGCTTATAAATCATTTTTAGATTTATTGATGAAAAAATAAGAACCTAAATATCTTTTTTTTGATACGAGTAAAAATGTCATCAAACTTATTTAATTGATTTTTTTCTCTTCTCGCGTGGAAAATCTCTAATACACACACGGCAAAAAATAATTTGCTGCAGCAGCAAACTAATTTGCTACAATTTGCAAACAATTTGCTAATTTGCTATATGGACAGTTATATATAATTCGCTGTGTTAGGTACTTTTTCTTTGCAGGAACCTATTTTCTTGCTATAATAATAAGAAAGTCTGCTCCTACAACAAGAAAAGTGGCTAACGTAGCAAATTTGCTACAGATGGACAACTAAATATAATTTAATGCTTTAGCTACTTTTTTTGTTATAGGAGCAGATTTTTTTGTTATCATATTAGTAGAGAAATTAGTAGAATATCATAGTAGAGAAATTGGCTCCTGCAGCAAAGAAAAAGTGGCTAATACAGCAAATTACGTTTAGTTGTCCATATGTAGCAGATTTTTTTTCCGTACACGTCTCGCATTTTTCGCGATTTAAGATGTAGTCCTCTTTTCTTCATAGACGACTGGATGTTATACTTTTATATAACGCGCAAAGTGGCCTGAAGTCACGAAGATATTTTGTTCCCGCAACTTGAACATTCGCCACGGATTCCGAGCGACGCGCACGTTTTTCCTCGACGTCGCTGTTCACCAGCCGTGACGACCATTTCATAGGTCGAGAGTGAAATCTTGTCCTTGGCACGATTGTCCTTCGTCGCGCCGAGAATACGCACCGCGATGTGCGGAGGACATCGAATCGCGCGTTTAACTGATGTCTGTGACGTCTCTGTATCTCTCTCTGTCTCAGAGGAACACGTGTTCCTCAGGGACCGCGTGTAGATCTTTGATAAGGCGGCACGTGTTCGACAAGCGAGATTCAACCGACTCGCTCGCTCGTCCAAGAGACAAATTTATGTTCAAATCAGAAGAAAAGAATATTATAAAGTGACATAAACATAACATTTATCAATTATGCGACGAGCTTTCCCTTTCTCTTGTGGGATTTTGTGACGAATTGTGTTCGTTCATCTATAGTATCCGTTATATCTTTGTCGATTATGAGTTAAAAAAGAAAAATTGAATATCTCAAAATCCAAAGGATGAATTTATGTTCAAATCAGGAAAAAAGGATATTATTATAAAGTGACATAAACATAACATTTATCAATTATACGACGAGCTTTCCCTTTCTCTTGTCGGATTTTGTGATGAATGTTCGTTCATCTGTAGTGCCCGTTATACCTCTTTGTCGATTATGAATTAAAAAAGAAAAATTGAATGTGTCTAAATATACACATATGCGTCAACAAGAGATTAAAAACGTTTCTTATAGAAGAAACGCGACTGAATGACGATCTCAACAAAAGCATAAAATTTCAATTGCATTACCGCGCTAATTAAATTCATTCATTATCGTGCTAACTTCTTTTCCGAAAAGAAACGAAAAAGATCGAGGGGAACGTTGTCGTGATCTCACGCGACGCACACACTACAGCGCGATCTGATGCACAGGACGACTTACGTAAATCGTGCTGACGGTCTCGCTTCTAACCATATCCCTGACGTCGTCCATCTCCCGTATGGACGTCGTGGGTGCCAACATCACCTCGCTTGCCATCTCGGATTTTCTCGGCTGCTGACTTCTTCGTCGCACCGAAGCTTCGTCCACGACGGCCGTGTATTGCGTGTACGCGCGGTATGCACGGTGTCCGCTTCCAGAAGAGAGAGAAAGAGAGAAACACCTAGGTAGGCGGCACACGTCCAACGGAGAACGGCGAATAGATTTAATTTCGGCGACCGACTTCGGAGTTATTATAGCTTTGATACTCGCGTCGCGCCGTTCGTCTCTCGTTACATCTCGTTGTCGTCGTTGCCGTCGCGAGCACGGCTCCGCTCTTTGTTGGCCGATATTATCTTCCTCGTTGACAAACGTGGCGGAGAACGCATCGCCTTCTCTCCTCCCGATAACGCGGCGAAGTTGTGTTATCACGGCACGAAGCCAACATCTGCCCACGATTGAGTCGGCGGGGTGGAATTCTCGCCACTTTCATGGGAAGCTGCAGATTCCGTTTATTTTCGCGCAATTCAATCGCGCAAGTCCGCCGACTCACGGCAAGATTACAGTGGCGATTATAGCTGAATCATATAACACACACACACATACACTCTCTCCCTCTCTCTCTCTCTCTCTCTCCTTTATCCTTCTTTATATCTATAGACTCGCACTGCACTGTACACCGCGGTTGTAGATCCCAGAAATAGCGATAACGAGGGAAGAATCACGATCGATACGCACTTCCGAGACGATGAATCATTCCGCGCGCAAACGCGCACTGTAGACCGCAGACGATTGTTCTCGTCCGCGAAAAGAAGCTTAAACGAGCGATTGCAGCCAAGTACGTCTCTGATCAGTCCGTCGCTGACACACGCAAAATTCACGCACCGTCACTGTTACGCGTCACATTCGCACAATTAGCTCTCCACAAATAGAGCACATTCGAGAGGCCAACTCGATTCCCACCGTGGGAGAAATTCGTCTTCGTGCACGGCGATCGATTCCCACTGGAAATCTATTTTCATCTCTCCACTGGCGGAGATCTCCATTACCGGCGTCGCAGTTCACACGATTCATACACTGAGAAGAAAAAAGCAGTTGGATCGACAAAATCGGCTGCTTTCAACGAAATATTGCATCTATCGAACAAGTAGCGCATCGGTGCGACAACAAGTTACGCTGATACCGATCAAATCGCGATCATTGAATCAATTAATAACTCATCACAGCAACTGTGTTACTGTTCGTTCGACCGACAACGTTTGCTTGGAACGAATTCTGTTCTGTTCGCAAAGTCTCATTAACTCGACCACTTTTTCTTCTCGGTATACGCGGTCGGGCCAAGAAGACGAATGGCCCACTTGAATTTCATTCGGCCGACTCGTCGATCTTCCTCCGGCGATTCCGCACGCGACGTCGACGTCCACCGACCGATCCGTCAATCAGCCCGGCACGCGTCTTCTGCAGCACCGGGACTGGGAACGCACATCAGACACAATCGCGATAATCCGATTCTGATGACCAGAGTCCCTCGGGGAGACCCGCTGCGCGACATCCGCGGAACACACTCCGTCGGTTCCGAGCGCGAAACCGCACTAACAGAGAATCGCGCGGCTTTTGAATGCACCGAGCGCGCACAGGAGACGGCACACTCCGTCCGCGGACGCGTGAGTGAGTCAGCTGGTGCGTTTCATGCCCACGAAGAACGCCCACGTTCGCGCAGTGGCGAACCGAGGTGCATCAAGGCCCGAAGCGCGAGGCACAAGTCGAGGAACTCGTGTCGTTGTCGATTTCTCAGACGACGTCACGTCCGGAGGGGAAGGTTTCGGATGATTGAAGCCTGATCTACAATGTGCTCTTTGCTTCCTGTTCTTTTTTTCTCTTGATCTCCTGCCTTGAACCTTAAGCCAGAAAAAGATAGAGAACAAGATAGCAAAGAGCACATTGTAGATCAGCTGAAAAATATTATCGGAACTCTGAAGTGTAGGACACATCTCAAAAACTGAATACCGGGACAATACACCGAAATACGATTTTACCGAAATATTAAGAGCACGTCACTGTCTTGAAAAGTCACAATCCCGAAAACTGAGTACAGGGACGATCTTCCGAAATATTGATCAATATTTGTCAATAACTTGTGTCGTGCAACTTTGTGGAACAATTTCATGCTTTTAGGAGATTGCCCCAAAAAGCAACACGACCTGTCGCGGCTGAGGAACGAAATTGATGGTGAAAAGCGCCCCCGAGTTGCGTTTCCTTTCGCGGAAAGCATCCGACAATGAGCTCGAGACAATGCACCGCGCTGTCCCACACACACTGAATTCATTTTCTCACGCTGTATCGGATTACTCGCTCTCTACCGAAGGACGCGAGGTAAAGGCAGACGTGCAACACACTGCGACAACCTATCTCATGCTCCCGAGACGCCTCCGCCTTTTGCAAGCCTTTTACAGGCAGGGTCTCTGGCGGGTTCTCTCTCTCTCTCTTTCTCTGTCCATCCGTTCGTAAACGCAAGGCCTAGGAGACCTCGCGCGGAAATATTCAACGAGGAAAAGAAAGAAACGTTCTCTGTGAACCCGAAAACGACGCTATGCGGAATCCTGAAGGTTTCAAGGTGGTCCTGATCGCGACACAGAACTCTTGCTCTCGAATTCTTGCCGCCACCCACACACGCCGGCATTTCCCTTTTCGCGCACGGTTTCGAAACTTAATACAATCTCGATTATCTGCCACGACGGATACCTGCCAGGTGCGCGTCTGATACTTTCACCGATTAATACTTTTTTTTAAAAGTCGCTTCGCACCCGCGAGCGAGTATCCCACGTGTTGCCGTTACGTAAAAACCAGCACCGACCACGTTCGCTTTTCCTTTTCGGCTGCCTGAACCGCGAGGATGGCGTATTAATTAGAGATACGTTTTACGAACGACGCGGAATACCACAAACGCGGATATCGCACGGTGTAATTACACAAGGGCGCGCAGGGGAAGCACCGACCCGTAAAGTACAGTATATCTGAAGCAGGAAGCGCGATATCTATTAATAACGATAATTCATGTGCATAATAATGCGTCTAAGCTGTCCCGTGCACGGAATGTACAAATGAGAAATTTACGTTTGTCGCGACACTAATCGTTTCAGAGTATGTATCACAGTCGTCGTAATTACTCGAAAAGGAGCCGTCAAGGTGACGTCTTCGTTTTTCTCTCTCCCACTCGTCCTTAAGGGAACTGGAGATTCAGATTGTCTGAAAATCATGTTTGTTTTTTCACAATTTTTTATGACAAACTGAATGAATATGCGAAAGTGTTATTTTGACGTATATTTATACAACATATAAAGAGATGAAAAATATAATTTTGATGATCAAATACTCAATATAAATGTATGGTACATGCAGTTAAAATATATTTCGTTTTTCTTTTCAAGGTCGTCATTTTGCAGTAATATCTTGATTGCAGTAATCACTTATATCACTGATAAACTCGTAAAAATATTTAATTTTAAAATATTAATTTTTTTACTATAAAAGAACTAAAAATTTTAATAATATTCCATTAAGATATTTGTAATTTTGTTAACTTTTATTCAGTTTCTATTATAGTGGTTCACCCGATAACAACAAACTTACGGAAATGTTCTACCTGAAATTCAGCTTAATTGAACCACCGAGAGTCAAGATATTACTGCAAAATGACGATCTTGAAAAAAAAA